ATTCCATATTATTTCGTCTTGGTTTAACTTCTTTTATGAGTTTAATCGAATTTGATATTGTTAATTCATCATTATCATCATATGTATACAATCGATTATCACCTAATATAATAAATTTATTAAGAAACGATGACCAACAACTATCCCATATTGATTGATCTTCATGCCATGGAATTGTTTTCTGTTGACCTTGAAAATCAACGATTGATAAACGTTTATTTTTTTTTGAATGTTGATAATGAAGAAATGTTGAATTTGGTGATGAAGCAGTTCCTAAAATATGCCATTCAGCACCTTTAACATCTAAACTTATTCGAGGTCGAATTGTTGTTAATCGATCGAAATAAATAGTTCGTTGATTTCTTCCAATTTGTTGTTGTTGTTGTGGTTTATTGACAATATAAAGATATTTTGTCCAATCAATTGGTACTATTCGAATTTCAGCTGTAGTTAACAATGAATCATCAACCTGTAATTTTAAATCATTTAATTGTGTTGTTAATTGTTGAATACGTGATTCAGTGAAATTATGTGTTTGTCGAGTATGTTGTAATTGTTCAGTTAATTGTTGAAATTCCGTTGTGAATCGATCGGTTGCAATAGTATCTGATCGACGACGAATTTTTTCTCGTATTTGTTCAGCTGTCTCTTTAACTTGACGAATAGTATCAGTTTCCCATTGATCAATTTTATGGATAAGATTTGTATTTTCTGTTAGACTTTCATAGGATGGTGGACGAGAAAGTGTATCTTTTAAAGTTGAATATTCAAACATAAGATCATCAAATTGTTGAGTTAAATCTTGTGATGATGAAAATGCCATAGTTTTGAGGTATAATAAAAACGATATCCTTACTCGTCTTGACTTATATATTTTCAATCGAAGAAAAAAAAACAAGAAGAAACGTGGCGCCTACAGTACTTTTTATATGTCATAGATAAATACTGTTCTCTTGTCTTCTTTTTTTCTTTTCATCGTTCTGTCTGACGATCGATGCTGAAAGGAAAAGAGAAAAAAAAATGGCGACATTTCTTTTTACAATATGAATAAGAGGCAGAAAAGAACGAAGCTCTAGATGTATTTTTCAGTCTATCGCGTGGCACATATAAAAAAGAAAAGAAGCAATCATATACAAGAGGTTTGAATGGAAGGAAGAAAGAAAAAAAAAACATATGACACATAATCTAAAATATTTGTCTACCCTGAAACGATGATTAATAATCTGAAAAATAAATATTCAGGATCATAGGACAAAAGTTCATCTAAATTTCTGAAAGATGGCTTCTGACTGTACAATCTAAAATTTCGATGATTCCTACCATCTCTGAAGTGAATAATGAGCTTCATGTCTTTCTTTTTGATTTATGTGCAAGCAGAATTTATCTAGGCTGTCAGTTTTCATTATACCTCATAAAGAGTCTACCGAATTTAAGAACAAAATCATGATCGATTACAGGAGAAATGATACAACTTGTCATATTCAGCTGAAATTAGTTAACCATTTTATGGACTCTTATTTTTCCCACTAAAAAAATTTATCCACATCAATATGATCAGCAGATTATATAGTAACACTCAAGATGCGAGAAAAATATTATTTTACTTTAAATAAAAACTCACACTTACATAAAAAAAAGAAAGAAAGCATTGCATATTTAACTAAATTAAATGAGAAACATTCTACATGATAATAAGCAATTGAATCTAATAAATGAACCTAGAAATCATTTTTTTATTTTGATATTTTATTCAATACTAAATGAAGTGTATTTTGTATGTTAATCATTGCATGATCCATATCACTGAGTTTTTCTTCAATTTTATCGACCTTTACTTTCATTATTGATAATGTTTGTGTATTTTCACGTATTTTATCATTTGAATCACGTTGCATTACAATTAATTCTGGCATTCCAATACAACTATCAATTAATTTCTTTTGATCTTGTTTTAATTGTTGATTAAAATGTATTGAACGAACTAATTCTCTTTGTGCTTTAATATATTCATTTGATATTGGTCGATGTTTTCGTTTTAAATACCAAAGTTTTACGACAAATTTAACAACATTAGCTGCATGATTTTTTCGTTCTTTAGCTAATTTTATATTTAATACAAAATTATGCACATATTTTTCCGATCGACTTAATTCAAGTTTTTGTGCAAGAACAGAAATTAAAAGAGCAGTCGACAATACACCAATCATTGCTATAATTGTAGCTACACCTGCAATAATAGATAAACAACAATTAAATTCTTTCATATTATCTCTTTTCATTTACTTCGTTCACAATATGTTGCCGGTGTTAGATCTCCATAACCTATTAATAGATTTACTATTTTTTCTAAGTATTTGAAAAAAATTTCACATACCAACAGTAGTAAATGTAACTATAAATAACCACATTGCATCAAGCATAGATATATGTTGTATTGTAGATTGATAATTACAAGCTCGTAATGACCAACTACTAATGATGAAAAGTAGTATACAAAATACAGATAAACAACGTGTTGGCCATTGTTGAATATATGTTTTAAGTAGAAAATAAAAATTAACTGATACTTGATTTAGAGAACCTATTGACTGGGAAAATGCATTATGTACCAAGTATGAATTGAACAGCATAAAACGACAGATTAAATATAAACGAGCAAACACTAATTTTATATATAATTTTTTTTTGATAAAGAATATTTAGACTTACTTGGCAAACCAAGTGCAATATCTATAGTTATATGAGATGGTAAGGTCGAATTGAATGTAGTTGAATTATTAGATTTGAAATTTCGAATAAATGGAAAATATAAAGGCATTGGATGAATCATACAGATAAATGCTTCGAAAAGAATTAGAAATATTCTCGTAGTTGTTAATCCAATACGCCAATGATTAAATGAATTACTAACTGCATAAAGATCTAAATCTAAACGATGATAATAGAAAACAAGTAAAACAAGAATTATAGTTGTAATGGTTATTATTAATTTAATAAACCAACAAATATATCTATCTTTATCGTTAATATTCAGAAAAATAATTTCATTATTAATAATCATTAGAAGAATACCCAAGAGACCAAGAAAACACATAATATAAGTGATTATATAACTAAAGATAGGAGAGAATTTCAAAAAAAATAAAATCAAACAATTGTTTCTTACAGTCGATTATGTAGTAATTTACGCTTGAGTAAACGATTATTTACATCGGCCATTAAAGTACTTGGAGATATTTGTTTTTTATTCGATAGTGAATCATTAGTTGTGTTATCAGTTATGTTTAATAATGGAATTATCGATGAAGTTGATGATGAATTAGGAATTGAAAAGATGGTCGTCATTACGGATGATACTGCACCATGTGCTTCAGATGAAAGAGAAGTAAATAGTGGTGAATTCATTTTTTGTAAATTTTCTTCAAGTTTCAACTTCAGAAATCTAGAGAGAAGTAAATATACATTGTTTTAACTTTATATCATCTCATCGATAACATGCAAAATGCAACAGATATACTTTCTTCCTTTTACCTTCTGAAACGACGTATGTTGTACGATGCGTTCAAGTGCAACCTGTTCATCGCACGTGGCATGTCTTTTCTTATTTCTAACAATGATGGAAAAAAAAAATTTTAAATTCAACTGACTGTGACGGAAGAACACAAGAACAGAATGTACTTTTTTATTTCCACGTGCATGTAAAACGCAAGAAAAAAATATCAGTGGCGACTAAAGATTGATATGATCACTTTTTTCTATGGTGACCATGATGGATGGATGTCGATCTGAGTTTGTGTATAAGAAATGCTTTTTAAACTGGCTATGTCACTAAATTTTCAACATTAAAAGCTTAGAAGTTTTCAGAGTATAATGTTTCAATAAGAAATACCACTTCACTCAACTAAATTCCATACTAGTTGGTTAGAAATCTATTGATGAAGAAATGACAAAAATCATCGAATATGTATCCATAATTCAACAAACAGGAGTTCGTGTTGAACTTGCACGATTAAAAAAGAAAAAGAAATTAGTTTCTGAACAGTCAAAAAATGAAGATTATAAAATGTTTTGAAACGCCCACATCCACACCGTCAAGATGTAGGTTTTTCAGAAAACCCATTGCAAATCAGATAAATTATAGTGTATTCAAATGTGTAAATGATGCGCTATCTAAATATGAATGAATATCAAAATCGGTATTTTGTTGTAGAAAAAATGTTTTTTTGAACCGCAGGTGAGCCTTGAAAACTTTTGTTAGAAAATTGGGAGTATCTCTATCTGAAAATTAGATCATTAAATTCAATTTTTCACACTCTTTCTAATAGTATATTTTGTATTAATTGGACATGAGATAAAAAATATCGATCAAGTTATTATGTATGTTTATCATTCTTCTTGTTCATGTCATTATTACATATTGAATGGAAGAAAATAAGAAATCTCTGCATCAATAAACCTTGATTTTAAATTCTTCGATATGAAATATATGCATATATGTATTTCGTCTAGTTCTCAATCCTTCTACTTGAATTAATGAGACAATATTATTTAAGATAATGTAGAAAATTAATCAATATAAAAATTAATTATTTGTAAAACAACTCAATAACAATTTTGAAAAGCATATAATAATAAATCATAGGAAATTTCCCAAGGTTAGTATCTTGTCTATTTTACAATATCATACATATTTGCTGTCATATTACACATAACGTATAGCAACGATTGATGGGTAGTTTACTTCCTTTTATTCATAAATATTAATTAGTATGTCCTATCATTACTTCGTTCTTTGAACGAATATGAGTAATATAAAAAATACTAAAGAAAAATTTTATGCATCATTATCTTAATCATTTTTTTTCCCGAGAAATTATTGCAGACCATAACCGATCATTGTTTATCATGAGTATTTTTAATTATTTCCTATCTATGTTTGATGTTGGTATATATTTCTCCAACTAAAATAAAGGACGTACATTATTTTGTAAACATACAAGATGATGGCATCAACAATACTTTCACTTTCTCAAGTTGGTATTCATGAGAATAACGATGAAATACCCTTCGATAAGCAATCATCGTTCTCTAATCCATTGAGAAATAATCCTATACCTAGAAATGCTCCATCAAGGAATACGATTTCATTCCGTGATATAAAATATGAGAAAGGTAATGGATTTTTTTATAATTTCCGTGAATTTTGGTGTGTACCTCCGCTTAAACATGAAGAAAAATCAAGCCCAATTCTTGATAATATTTCGGGCATTTTTAAACCGGGACTAAATGCAATTATGGGTAAGAATTAGTTTTTTTTGTAAATTACATTGATTATAAAAAAACACATGATTATTATCTAGGTCCAAGTGGATGTGGAAAATCTTCATTAATTGATGTTCTTGCTAATCGAAAAACTCCTAAAAGTTTTTCTGGTGAAGTATTTTTGGATGGCCAGCAAATAGATAAGTCATTTAAATATGTGTCTGGTTATGTTGTTCAAGACGATATTCTCATGGGTACTCTTACTGTAAAACAAAACATAATGTTCTCACTTAATACTCGTCTTAGAACTAAGTTATCAGAGGGAGAACGTAACAAGCTAATCGACGAAGTTCTTATAGCTTTACAAATTAAACATCTTGAAAACAAAACAGTAGGTACAGAGCTCACACGAGGTATATCAGGTGGCGAGCGAAAGCGAACATGTATTGCTATGGAATTGATACTTAAACCGAAAGTATTATTTCTTGATGAACCAACTACAGGTTTGTTTCGTATTAAATGTGAATATAATTATACGAAAATTAAAAATGTTATATTTGTTTAGGACTTGATGCAACAATAGCACAAACGGTCATGAGAATTTTGAAGAGAGAGTGTCAAAGAGGATGTAAGTTTATGAATTTGAGAAAATAAAAATCTAAAGAAGAAATATTTTTTCTCAAGGTACAATTATATTTTCAATTCATCAACCACGTTATTCAATATTCAAATTATTTGATCGAATAGTTTTGATGTGTAAAGGAAAAATTGTTTATAATGATTCACCAAACAATGTCGTACCTTATTTCAATAGACTAGGATTTGAACGTGATCCTCATGATAGTCCACCTGATTTTCTTTTGGATATTCTCGTCGCAGCTAATAGAGATACCGCCGAAAGTAGAACAGCACTTAATACTTTAGTTCGTCAGTATCAGAGAACAAAAACATTTCAACAAATGCCTTATGAAATCGATCATCAAATACGATTAGCTTTTTTTAATACGGCTAATAATAAAAACCAAAATATTAAAAAATCATTTTTTGACGAATTTCGTTCTATATCAAAACGAATAATGATAAATACAAAAAAACATAAAAAATTAGTTGTAGTTCAAATATTGGTATCAATATTTATTAGTTTATTAATTGGTCTTGTATTTTTTAATATGCCTAAAACAGTTGATCCAGGTATACAACATCGATTAGGTGCTATATTTATGATTGTTTCAAGTAAAATATTATCAACAGTAACAGCAATTGAACCATTAGTTAAAGAACGTGCTTTATTTATTCATGTAAGTTTCATTAGAACTATTCAAATATTCTATTTGAACGTTTTTAGGAATATACCAGTGG